AAGTCACTATTGGCATACCCATATCTACACCCTATTTTCATTTTGATAAATACCAACATTTTAAACGGCATTGGATACAATTGAAGATATTCAAATCGAACAAGTTATATCGTTTATAAGGCTTTATTTGATGCTTTCTTTTCAGGAATTCTGCGTGTGTATCATGCTGTATCAGTTAGCCATGTTCAATCCGCTCCTTCTTTATTCAATACGGAATGTTTCTCTTTATTTACTATGTTGAAGCTTTGCATCTTTTAAAGTGGAAAGAAACATAACTGAACGAAATTCAATACTTTTATTGTAATAGAACCCATGAACTTAAAACAAAACGAAATAAATAGTATTAAACTGACGCAACGGACATAATCTTGATGTATTTGAAATTCATTGATTAAAATAGGATCATTAATGAATTGAAACAATTCTCCACTTTCATATCTATTTCGTCATCGAAAGTGCCATTTTTTCATGTTATGGCATTAAATTGTCGAGAATCATGCTTTTTTTTCATTTTTACACTCCATGGAAGTGTTCGATTCTATTCCTATCTGACGATGTTCATTCATTTGGAAATATTTTTTCATTGAATTTTTAACAGCTTACTATTGAATATTATATTTATGGACGCAGCTTAGCACGTTTAAAAAGCAGCTTTGATGGGGATGTAGGTGTGAATTTTGAAAATTGTCTTCGACTCCTTGTCATAGCACTAGTCGTCATCTATGTTCTCCTTTCCTTTTGTGTCCACTCTATTCATATGTTGGTTGCCTTGTTCTCTGTGCTTTTCCTAGCGTTCATTTTATTTCTAAGCCATCTCCATCTCATTAGTTACATTAACTATCTCATGACATATTTTCATTCTGAAATTTGTAGGAATATTTCTTTAGAAACTTTCTTTCGTTGTTAATTAAATTTTTCATTGAGCGTTATAATCATAAACATTTTATTGTTCTTTACCATAAATTTCCTTTCTTCTTTTATATCACACCCAACAGTCATCATATCATCTAGTCTATCGCCCAAAACAATATTTAATCAACACTCGGTCTGAATAATTTATACGCACGGAAGTGACCAAAGATGTGGCACCAACATAACCAATAGAATTTTTTGATTCATGGTTACGGCTAGACTGACGATCAGGGTTATAAGAGTTATGTCTATGATCGTTATTCAAATCATGATGACTGTGAATGATCGTGACTAAAAATATAGGTGGGTCACGCCGATGTCTACGATCGCTATTTAGTGTGCTTTATGTTTACAAAAGCTTTTTGTTAGATGGCTCATGTCGGATGTAATTATTCGAGATACATGTCATCATAAGATGTATGCATCGGCTTTATTTTAAAGTATGCTTCATGCTTTACCTGATGAGATCTGTTATTGATCTTATGAAGGCATGTAAAATATGATATGAGAAAAGGTACATTATTATTAGGAGATCTTCTTTTTGATAGAGTAAGATATGTTCTTTTGAAGTATAGGAAAGACGCGAGCACTGATCAAACCGTTAGCTGAAGCTCGAGGCGAGACGGGTTGATCAAAAGTTAGTCCTGATGACGTTAACTAGAGAAGAATATGCTGCAACTGAAAATAAACGAGAATTAAAAATGTTAAGAACGACGATTTTGTTTAATATCTTTAAAGTTTGTTTCACATCTATTGTTTGTTTGGCTGAAGCGCAGTTGATTCATCTGCTTCTTCCGAGGATCCTCTAGAGAGCCTTGGTTCAGACACAACAGTTGAACTTTTAGCTTGAAAATTTACGCCTCCGACTATCTCTATAACATAAAATAAATGTTAAAAGTCAGTAAATCGACAGTACTATTGCATACTCACCTCTTGATTTTAACTCACGAGCCTCTTGACAGAGTGCACATAGATTACAGCATATTGTAGCGGGAAGATCACCACATGCCGGATCTTCACGTAGACCATACTTTTTTCGAAGTTTTTGCCGTTTGAAATATTGCGGTATCCAGCATAAATAACAGCTTCCTAAGCAACAATATGCACAGCACATTGCCCACCAATTACTTTCATCGATCTTCTTGGCATTAGAAGCGAATAGACATGGAGGACAACAAAATCCGTAGCAACACGTGCGGGAATCATCACAACAGCCAAATAATCGCTCTAGAATCCAAATTAACAAACAAACATCGAATTTTTAATTGTCTCTTGAAGTCAAACAAAAGTTACCTACCATTCCAAACGTTGCTTTCAGTCATTTTCTACAGAATAGAAGTAAAGAAATTGTATCTAGAAATAAAGTTGTGCATTTTTTTCTTTCAATAAAATATATCTTATAGAACAATGTGATCATTGAAGGCAATGTTTACCTTTTCGATTTTTGATCGCGTTGTGATGATGAATAAAACTAATGATAGAATGGAGAGGTATAGCAAAATACGGGGTATTCTCTTGCGTTCTGTCTCTTGCCTTCACTAAATTTGGAGTCTTGTCTCATATTCACGATTTGTATACTTTTTTTTTCGTAGTGTTTCTCACATCAGTAAACGCTCCAGTAATTTGATGTCTCATGCAAATGCAATATGTGTGTCTATTTAATTAAAATATGAAGCAGTTACCTATGCCTAAAATGAAATGCTTGTCAACAGTGAACGAGAGCAAACATGGTTACAATGTTAATTAACACTCGTATGATAATAGTCTCTTATGAGATATCGTGAACTAGCTAGCTTTTCTCTTTTTCATCAGCTTTGGAAAAATTTCTGTTTTATTTTGATAGTTTTTGAAGAGTCTGCTTCAAATTTAATCGAAATGACCGAAGAAACACCCATCTTTTAACTGAAAAAGTGAGAAATAAAGACCATTGGGTACCCAAATATGAAAGAGCCTAAAAATTAGATTGAAAAAAGATTTTTCGGACAATAATCACGAAAAACCGATTTATGAAAATCCATTTTTTAGTTGACATAATTGTAATATATATGAACTTTTGAATAATGTTTCTTTATAGATGAGTTTTTCATTTAAAGACAGCCATTTTTTCCATGAAATGACAAATATCCGATTGAAAATAAACTCTATTTTTCTCAATTACATACGTATTCTCTTAGTATGGTTGTGTAATGCATAAACTTAGTAATGCATGAGAAATAGTCTTGCAGTTAAGCTAGTTTTCTTAGTCTGGTAAAACAGTTACCACTTTGAGAAGTAAATATGCATTGATGTTATTTTCAAAAATATATAGATCGATGCCAAGGCATTTAGTTGAGGAAGACCAATGCAACTAAAATTTTTTTCTAGAACGTTAACAGAAGCAAGGTTTTTCGAGAAATATATGATCTTCAAAATTAAGAACTGAAATGTTGAAAAGAATATCCTGTGTTTCGCGGTTCGATCTTTTCTGGTTGCCACTTATATTGCTTTGGAAATGTTTTCAAATTTATTTTAACTTTGATAGTGCCTGTTGATTTATGAAGTATGATGAAGTGTATAGAGAAACGAAAATAATGGCTGATGTTCTTGGATTATTGGAACTATACTTATTTTTCGACGCAATCAGAAATTTCGATCATGCATGTGTTTCTGGTTGAACTATCACTACATTTTGAGGGGATGGATGTGTATTTGGTTGTAGATAAAAACGAGATCTACACTTATATGCAGAGCGTACACCCTCCCACCTACACCCATTCCTTTCTTGAATCGCTCATGAAATTCAGCTCAATTGGTACAGTTTGCTGAGCTCTATCAAACGATATAGATTTTACTGAATTGAAAGCAAAGTATCGTCTGCTGAGAGGTATGAGCATGGGGTGTAGCTGTGTGTGGTTGTGTATGAAGTGTGGATATGGGTGTCGACGTGGATATTGCTGAAAACAATAGCAACACTCTACATCTATATCCAAAATCTACGCAGATATACCCACTTCCATACCTGCATCATCATTCCATTTGCGCCGACGGTAAGGAAAGTGCCACATTGGTAAAAATATTGAAAAATTTTTATCAAAGTCGTTTCTTACTTCTTTTTTGTAAAGAACTACTCAATATTTTGTGATAAAGAAGTCTGCAATTTTCTAGAAAATTCAAGGAAAAAATAGCTCTTCAAAAAGATGATCGAAAAACCATATCTAATCATTAGTATTATTACATTTGAAAAAATATCCACTTTCACAGATGCATATTTATAAACCAAATTATTCCGCTTCTTCTAATTAAACAGGCTTCAGATCATTTTACATCATTCTTTTTTGAAGAGCTCTTTTTCATGGAATTTGTAGAGAATTTTACAAGTTACCTTTTGGAAAAAATTCAACTCAAATCAGCAAAAATTAGCAGAGCTATTCACAAAATATTGATTAAGTAGTTGTTTACAGAAGGGAAATAAGACATGGTTTTGATAAAAATTTTTCAATATTTTTTACTAATGTGACACTTTCTTATGATTGATGCAAATTCTGTTCAATAATAGCTTAGCTGGTAATCTTCAAGTGTATACATCCAATACCTTTCCATCTTTGAATGTAGAAAAGATTAAAAAAAAAACATGAGGGCATTACATATGAAACACCACTTATACGCACATGAAGCCTCATATTTTCTTCTTTTTTTGTTCTTCTGCCATAATGAATTGTACCTCAAACGAACTCGATGACGCCGCATCTATATTAATGCTATTATACCCAATACACACATAACGACGATGTGAGTACAATTCTTTTTTTCTTTTCTCTTTCTATTCATTATATGTAACTAACTACATTATCTCATCATTTCTCTTTTTTTATTCAATCCAAGATATCATCTCTGCTGAAACAAATAACAACAACTACAATCATCAGGATCAACGTATACCTTTTTATTCTGTTGAAGGTACACACTATGAACGTAGTTTTAAACTTGGTCAAATTATAGCTTAACGAATACGAGAACGAATTAAAAAGGAAACAAACAATCTACAACCATTATTTAATTTTATAAAAACTGATGATAGTTCTCAATATATAAATTCATATACAGCTACAATGCAAAATGAATATCCTTGGTATTATTACGAATTGAAAGGATTAAGTGATGGCTCTGAAGTTTCTCTAGAACAAATTTTAGTATTAAATTATAAAAATGAATTGAAAGCAGCAAACGATATACATGATGAAGAAGAACAAAATGAACAACGACGTAGGTCATATTCATCAGTTCTCATAAGTCGTCTCGATAATGATGAACAACTGTTATCTATTGTACATAATAAGGATGAAGCAGATTCAAATTGAAATACGAGTTATATCCTCCAAGCAACTATTAAATCAAGTGTTTATAGAATTAATGGGAAGGAAGAACAAAGAGAAAGTCCAAATGAACAATTAATAGCATTTGGATATCTTGAACAACTCGCTGGTAAGTCATGAGAAAAGTTTTCCATCATGTTTCGGTATTTACTTAAAAACTTTGTTTGTCTAAAAGATTCGCCTTTTTGATTCTCCAAAAATATATGTGTAAACGCTTTTTTTTAAAACGAAAACTCAGAAAAGTTTTGAAAATTTTTTTTATGTGATAATATCTTTTTCTTAGATCAATTGCAAAATGTCAACAGACCGTTGAGATGACTTTTGATAATCTTCGGAAAACTAAATGTTGTTTGTTTTTTTGATTATCTTTACCTTACTATAGGTAATGGTTTTGGAGCAAATCATCATGGTTTTGTTTTTACATACAATGGTCTCTATCCAAAAACATCTCGCATAAAAAACTGTCTATCACGTCAATTACTCAATCGTCTTATTTTAACTGTTGAAAATGAACAACAATTAGATCAAATACTTAAAACACAGTTAACAGCCTATGGTTTCAATTTGAATGTTGTTCGATTTCGTTGTTCAGATGGAACTCCTCAAAAATATATATTAAGTTATAAAATTGGTCCATCAAATGATAATGAAAAAAGAAATCAATGTAATATTAACTATATTTTAAATGAGAAACAAATCGAAAGTTGGTAGCTTACAATTTCTGCTTTTCCTATTTCTTTTTTTTTTTATATTGATTTACTACTTTACCTATATTTTAGATACTCAAATCATTACGAAACATAAGGATATTCGATCATCTTCATTCTCACTCGATTACTATTGTCACTTCAATCACTATATTCATTTCCAAACTGTGCCTGAAGAATATAAACCACTTCCATCCAGTAAGTATGGTTGCAATTAGAAGGTTTTACTCATGAAGGTACGTTTTTCAAGCGAAAGCTCTACACAGTTCAATAAATTTGTAAACTACTATTTAGAAACTTTCACACAATCACATAAGATATTTTATAAATTTGTTACTCAGACAATCATCAGATCGATTACAGATTATCCTATGCTTGATTAGAAAAAGTACAAGCACCCCAGTATTAAATCTTTGCTTTCTTTTTCCCTTCGAAACCTACACAAATTTTTAAAAAACCAGATAACTTTTTCTCTCGTGTATATAAACGCAAATCAAAGTTAGAACTAGTCTGGCAAATCAGATCGGATCAATTTCAAGTGTCAAATAGGGATCGATTGGAAATTGCAAGGAACTTCTTGTTTTTTCTTAAAAAATATTAGAAATAAAACGATTTTCTACTCTAAATGAGAGGAAATCTGTTTTTGGTTTATAAGATTTGATATATTTTTTTTTCGGTTTATATTTATCACTATGTCAAATCATCTAGATTTTTGAAATCTGATGTTTTCCTTGCGTAGAGACAATATTTTTCACCAACTAAAAATAATTTGAAAATTGTCTGAGGGAGAACGTCTCAACTCGTCACGTGACGAGTTGAACAAACAGCAAAAAACAGACCTTTCGTAACACCAAAAATAGGGATATCCAAAAATACAGGGATATCGTAACGAAATTTACAGGGCGATCGTAACGATTAATACAGGAAGTTCGTAACAGTTGCAGAGCTTTCGCAACGACAGAATCAGGGCTTTCGTAACAAAAAATCAGGAGTTTCGCAACGAATTGAATAGGGCTGTTACGAAATGCCTGTAATTGAGGACGTGATGTTTTAAAATGGTACATATCAAATCACAGGTTACGATCACTCTGTAAAATTCGTTACGATAGCCCTGATTTTTTGTTACGAAAGCCCTGATTCTGTCGTTACGAAAGCTCTGTTACGGGCTTTCGTACTGTCAATTCGTTACGAAAGCCAGACAAAAAAAAACCGTGACGAGTTGACACATTCCCGTCTGAGGACTAATCGAACTGGTTTAGATTCCAAGCTTAATGTAAATTATTTTTTACATTTCATACATTCTTTCTATCTTTATTTCTTCCAAAGGTGAAATGCGTGAAAAATGTGCTAGTGAATTTGGTGATATAAAACTTTTAATTCAAGCATTGCAATTACTTGGTGATGAAAAATATGAATCTGAACATCCCCCATATATCGTCGTGCATCAACAAGTCAGACAAATACGGTGACATTATATACAGCTCTTATTGATTTCACTAAATCAATTCTCTATGTTTATGATGATTGAAAACACGTTCACCTTTTTTTAAATTTGATTTAAACAGTTTATAGTTTAAAAGAAAACTTAAAATGTCTATTTTTTTATTGATTAATAAAGTTTTTCATTGATTGAAAAAGAAGTTGGGGAGAAATCTCCCATAATGCAGCAGAAAGCAGTGACGTATTAATATTATTGTTTTTTGACTAAGAAATCAAATGGAAAGAACTTGGATGTGGATGTAGATGGATGTATCGATCGTCACATTGAAATGAAAGTGATCAAACGCTTCCTCTGGCGTATCATTCCTTGGCTCGAAAGGAATAGGTAGAATTCAACAAATAATTTATCCGATTGAAATAATCGAAGTCAGATAAGATAATTATGAGACAGTCAATAAAAGCTTCGTTAGTGCTACAATAATCTGGCGTATGATATAAAAGTGTCATATATTATTTACCTTCGGGATATCTGAGTCTTTTTTATGGATTGACAAACTTCAAAGATAGAAAGAAATACACCAATTTAATAAGCAATGCATTGAATGAGATATCAGCAAATATTTATTGTACAGCCAAGATATTAATCTTATGTATTTAGATAGAAAGATGAAAAATGATGATCTGTTTGGACAAAAAAAAATATAAAGCAGTATAATTCTGATACTTTTTACAAAAAAAAAATGATTCGAGAGGAAAATTGTTGAACTGAAGCATTCAAAGAAAAGGTCGAAAAATCGAAATCAAAACTACTGAGGTGATTTGATGAGAAACTCTTTCTGTAATTTGTAAATTAGAAAACAATTCATTTTGGTTAAGTTATGCTTGTTGCTCATAATCATGTTACTAAAATATTTTTTAACAATAATTTGATATAATTGTTGATATTTTTTTTTTGCTAATCAGTGTGATTAATAAGATATTTTTCACAAATTCAATCACATTCATGGTGCTATAAATCAAAGTAAATGATCCATGAAACATTCAAGTGTTAAACTAACAGTAACAGTCTAGAGTGTCCTTTCGAAAATGTCCTTGGACGAAATGTCCTTTATTTTTTCGTCCTCTCACATACATATATATGTAAGGACGAAAAAATAAAGGACATTTCGTCCAAGGACATTCTAGCATGTATTCAAGTTTTTATCTGAATTGTAATTATAATTCAAATAAAGGCTCTCGTATTAGAACAGCCAAAAAGTGAAAGGTAAGTTTCATCGCAATGATAAGATATACTTCAAATGAAGGCCGCCCTGTTAGAATATGATGTAGAGTGTGGGTGTAAGTATGAGAGAATAGAAGATTCACATCAACGCTTCGTTTCCACATTCACATCCTTTCATAGCCATTTTTAAATAAATTCTTATCGATAAAATATAGAAACTTTCCGATTTTGTTATGGGCTTTCTTCTGGATGAGAATTAAACAAAAACAATGAGTAATATTGAATCGGAATTCAAATCATTAATTCTACATTATAAACTGGAAACGAAGATTAACGATTCTGGCATGATCGTGCAAAGGAAAGGCCTAGTTTCAATCCAAAAAAGCCTTATTTACTGATATCTAACCATATAACATCCGCATATATGAATTATTACTCAAAAAAAATCTACAGTAAACACATTTTCAGCTTTATACAAAAAAAATAACAACATAGTTATGAAAAGCCATAACAAGTTAATTAACAATGTCATTCAAGGTGAATGGATCACTTTGGACTTATTATACATCTTCACATAGAGAGGACTTCGTCCAAAGTCAATTATAACGCTGTTATAATTAGTACTTACATAAGCTATTTCCATAGTTAACCCAATGCAAACTTTACTTGATGAGTGCTAGAGGATAACAAGAACTACGACATTATCATATATTTCAAATGAATACATCAAATCAACATAATTTCGTATCAGTTTTTTTTTTCAAAATTAGTTAATCGATCATTTTTTTCGTGATACTGGAGAATCTCAATTAATAATTAAAAATCCAAATGAAATTCTAACATTTGCATCAACATGGAAATCATCAGGAATACATGCTAGAATGTCCTTTCGAAAATGTCCTTGGACGAAATGTCCTTTATTTTTTCGTCCTCTCACATACATATATATGTAAGGACGAAAAAATAAAGGACATTTCGTCCAAGGACATTTTCGAAAGGACATTCTAGACTGTTACCAAAAACTTTGGCTCTAGCTTTTTGGCTACATCAGTGCCAGTGAAATTTAGGAAAATTTGACTTATTTTCGAACTTGAATTAGGTATCTTGTCTGCTGTAGATGACTCAACTGGTGTGAATGTAGCTATTGACGTTCCGTTTATCCGCACGTATCCAATCAACAAGTCTCCAAGTGAGGTCACTTTTTAATGAGCCAGCTCAACTTAGAGTCGTAGTATTAAAAGTATATTGTTTTCTTTTTATAAAAACGATTTGTAACAGATGGAACGGCACAATGGCTGCAGTCATTTATTATCCTAGCGATCACGGGTTGAATAAGATCGAATAATTTTAATATTTGACAAACATAGCATAGTATTAATATTAACATAGGCTTTTACGAGCACAGCAGCCCTTCATCAATCTCACTGAATCAGATCAGTTACTATTTTTAGTTTGCTATTTATTTTAGTATACATTTAACACAGTTGCACTTTAGTAAGACCCATACCATTTAATGCAGTTAATAGTACACTTGGTCTTGTGCGTAGATAAGCAATGTCATTGATGCTAGTAAATGCTCTGCTTTTATTTTTTGCCTAAATAAAACCCCGCCAACGTTTTGCATAATAAAAACTCATGATAATTATTATTTGCGAGATACAAAATCCATGTAAAAAATTTTTATGATAAATCAACCTTTCAAGACAAATTTTAATCAAATAATAAACTATTATGTACTATGTTTTATTTCTTCCTGCCAACAATTTTTAACTCATTTATTTTATTCCTTATCATACTATCATCGTCACTGGTGACATAACTATAAATATAAGTGAAGAAATGCTTTGTGCATACATGCAGTTACTTTTACTGATAATAATATCGTCAAAAGTTAACCTCACAATCTACCAACAGTTATACTGTCGTGAGTATGCATGTAACTTTTTAGCAGCGTCACATATGCAGAAAACCAAGGATGCTGGGAAAGTGCAGAGAAAAGCGAAAGATGCCATACTACCTTTGAACACATGGATCCATTAAATGTAATTTGACATTTCCCTGCAATTCTCTAGCATCGACGATTTCCTGGATACGTAACACTCCTCAGACCTAGAGACTATTACTCGTATAGGTAGTTGTTAATCATAGACGGCTGCTGCATAAAAAATATATCAATGTGATGAAGTTTGATTCTACCTTAAAAACTGTGACATATATTTTTAAATAGAATTTTGAAATATTCTCAACGACTTATTGCAAGTTCATATAGAACAGATTCATTTGTTAATTTAGATTATGACAACGAAGTCTTCTCCACGTATTTCTGTCGTCAATAAAAAGAAAAACAATGAACAAAAAGTCAATCTTGTAATTTCCGAATTCTTTTCTTTTCATCATATAAAAAATGTTTTTTTTTTTAAATCAGTTTGAATTACAATCTGAATATGATTGGACTCATGCAATTCATCATAATCTCAACATAAAACGGCGAACATGCACTACATTTATTCCAAAATCTTCCGCAACTAATGATCCGTATGCTATCAAAAAGTACAATTGTCTTTTATTTGAAAGAAAAGAAAAATGTCTTTTTAGTGATAAAAATAAAAATGATATTCCATGTGGTTGTAATCGTCTTCGTCGTGAACATTCTTGGGATGTTTTCGAAGGAAAAAATCTCCAATGGAATCGAAACGAGCATACAAGATCAGCTTGCAATAATGCATATGGATATATATCGAATACTCATGCACATTATATTCGATGTGATATTAAAACACATCCAAATATTCTTGCTAAATTAATGTTTGACGTATGGAAAGTTAAAGATCCACAATTAATAATGTGTATTATTGGAGGAGCTAAATATTTCAAATTAAATGAACGACTTGAAAGAGAATTTATGAAAGGTATTATTCAAGCTGCATTAAGAGCAGGTAGAGAGAGAAAAAAATATGTAAAGATAAAATTTATTTGATTTATTTCAAAGATGGTTGGATTGTAACAACAGGATTTAAAACGGGTGTTGTACAACTTGTTGGTGAAGCTATCTATGATCATAAAGTAACTAATCCACGAAGTCATATTACTGCTATTGGTTGTTCGAAATGGGGTGCAGCTAGAAATCGAGCATCACTCATATCAGTAAATGTTTGAAATTTTTTTTGTTTATAAATTATTGAATTTTTGTTTTTAGTCCAAAATATCAACTAATACCATTCAAGATGCAACGATGGATACATCAAAGAGAACGAAAGGTGAACAAGATCTTGAACCTAATCATACACATTTTTTATTGCTTGACGATGGAACTTACTATGGATATGATATTGGAGATTATCGAACAAAATTTGTTCTTGAAGCTTCACGTTATAAGAAAGAAGGTAGTTTTTAATTAGTCGTAGAAAGTTCAGCTCTCAAAGAAATAGTGCATAAACTTTAATCCTATTGCCTGATATATTTTGACTGCAAACAGATCTCAGTAAATCCTGATCGCAAGCATCGAGACAAGATCGATAGGAGTTCATACAAAGGATTTGTAATGAAAACAGTATTTTCGTATTAGTAAATTAATATTTGCATATATAAATTTTGCAATAGATAGCATACTTCAGTGCGCTGTAATCTTAAGACACGGGGAAGACATTATTCCTTAGAACGGTCTCAATATGGATCTCTTCTTCATTGATGACGGTAATTGTAAAATTTTCCAGGCAAATGGTTAAAACTAGCCGAAGATATGTATCATTCTTCGACGGTTCTCGTCAACTTTCATGCAGATATCACCTTAAAGACTACTTCCTGCATTAGACATATTAAAACCGTTTGACGTGGAATTTGTATTGGTAATACAAGCAGTATTGAGCAATCGAATGAAGAATTTAACTCTATTAGATTTGTTTTCAATGTTGAGATATCCTCGTCTAAAGAAGAATCTATCCTACCCTTCTACTTCCTTCACATGGAATTCGATCAAATCCTGATTAGTCCATGTGATCAGTGCTCAACATGCTCTATTTGTGATCAAACTATGAGATTAAAGGATCCGAGTTTAGGCACTATTTTTTACTTGATAGCAGAATTTTTTTGCGATTATTGTCTGTACTATCAACTTTTTATTGTTTATTAATATTTTATTTAAGTGCCTATTGTGACTATAGTCGTTGAAGGTGGTCCAGACACATTATCAACAATTTATAACGATCTTTCTAATAGTATACCAGTAGTATTAATTGATGTATACATTTCTATTTATCTTATAAGGATATATATTTTGATCGAATTTCATCTATTTAGGGTAGTGGTCGAGTATCTAACCTTCTTGCTAATTTTCTTAATCGTACAGAATCAATGATGCATCGAAGTGGAAAAGATAATGATGGTGTTAATTGGAAACAAGTAATCAATATCGAAGAAGTAGATGATATTGAAAGGTAAAATGTTTATTAGTTATTATGTTGACATATATTTTTTGATAATTATTTTTTTTTTTGAGATTAAAAACAAAATTTCGTTCTTATGCAGATGAAATACGTGATGGTTTAAGAAATATATCTAAAGGATCAAACTCATCAGACAAACAAATAAATGAGTTATTTAAATATTTCCTATATTGTTTACAGCCAGCTGTTCGATCTAGAATTCGAATATTTAGTCTTGATAGTAATGAATCTTTGGATGATACTATTTTTGAAGCTATTGTAGACGGTAAAATGAATTTTATTCTATTTTTATTACATAATTATTTTTCGTTCTTATAGCAAAACAACAGGAAAGTTTAGAAAGAAAAACACCAGTTAATCGAGAACAATTATTACAATTGGCACTTGCATGGAATGCTATTCATGTAGCAAAAGAACATATCATTAAAGATGATTTAAATAATCTTCATGTACGTATATAAAATAATCTAATAAAGATTTCATGACAATATTTTATTTTCTAGTCAGAAAATAAAGAAATATTATTTTTTGATGCACTTTTACTTGATCGTCCACAATTTGTTAATACATTTATTAAATTAAATTTTGATTTAACTCAAATGTTTTATGAAAGACAAATTAATCAACCGTGGAAATTAAGATTAAATCAATTACTTAGATTATATAATAATGATGATAGAAAAAAGATTGTAAGATAAAATAAAAGAATCGATAATCTATTTTATGTCATACTAATTCCTTTCTTTTTTTTTTTGTCTCTAGAAAGAACGTCGTTATTTACTTAATAAATGTTGTGATAACAAACCAATTAATTCCGAAGAAGATCTTAATTTAATATTAAAAAAATTAATAGGTGATTATTTTAAACCAATATATACTCCTTCAGTTATTGACTGTTGGAAACAATTAAAAATATGTTGTTCATGTTCATCAGGAGCTCGTGTTTCGGGTAGTCGTGCAGTTGTGTATACAGATTATGATAACGATGATTCTGAAGTACCTGATCCTGAAGAAGCTCAAAAAGAAGCTCGAGAACTTGTTTTTCGTGATTTATTTTTATGGTCGATATTAACAAATCGTGTTGAAATGTCTAAAATTATATTAAGTCACATGCAATCACGTATATGTGCTGCATTAATAGCATCAAAAGTTTTTAAATCATATGAAAAATTTGCTTATGATAATGAATCAAAAGAAGTTTTACATTATCAAGCTGAACAATTTGAAGAATATGCAAATGAATGTTTGAAATGTTGTTATCATCTTCATGAAGAAAAAGCATGTGAAATAGCTATTCGAAGTATTAATGTATTCGGTGGTGTTTCATGTCTTCAAGTGAGATTTGAAAGCAAGAAATAAACAGAATTTTTCTATTTTTGAAAAAATTTAAGGTAGCTGTAGATGCTGATGATAAAAGTTTTGTTAGTCAACCATGTTGTGCCCAACTTTTGAATAGTATTTGGCATGATAAAATAGAACCAACTCAATTCACATTACTTCAACGTATTGGATTATTATTAAGTATTTGTACATTTGGTTTGTTAGCACCAGTTTTTGTTTCATTCCGTAAAGTCAAATCAGCTACTATCGATTTTGTGAATGATCGAAAGAGAAATAATAACATGATTGTTAATGAAACAGTACAAGAAACAAAACAATTGTTACCTAAAATTAAAAAAAAGTAAATGTTCAATTTTTGTTTTTCTTAAGTACAAGTCTACTATAAGTTTTTCGATGATTTTTGACTACAGAAAAGAATATAGATAGGCTTCTAGATAAAGACTTTTTCTATAGAGTAGTGTTTCCATTACTAAGTTCTATTGTTCAATTAAATACAAAAACGTAGAAAATGCATGTATTTGTCTGGAGTTTTTAGAAACATGTAAGCAAATAGCATATGTATGGAAATATAGAAGTTTTATTAATGTGTACTTGCAACATGGATAGAATTTTACTAAGTTTTGCATGTTATTGCAAATGGGTCATAGTGACAAAAACTATAACTAAAGCAATTCTGCATGGACATGCAAGTTCTGCCATTTTTTTAGTATACACGATATTTCATGTAAGCATTTAGTTTTTCTCTTCGTAATGTATTTATTTGTTGCCGATTAAAATGAAATCGTTCTGACATATTCACACTATAATGACTCAAAAACCTTGTTCACTTTTTCGAATTTCGGTATTATTAGTACTCATGTTCATACGTACCGTAGTAATTATCAGACAATCACAGTTTAAAATTGTATTTCTCATATAAGTACATGACCGAATAGTAAAGAAGTTCGTCTTATACAACAAAGCACTTATGTTGAGATCTTATTTTCGGACAAATCTTCTGCGTATTCATGTATGTTTACCAAATGTGCTTCGTTTGTTTTTTTTTGACATTTTAAAATTATCTTATATGCATACACGTGAGTTCGCTATAAAACCATTCATACATTCTTACATTAAGAGGAAAAAAAACCTAGGCTTCAATATTCCGAAGTACTGAGTGTGAGTGTGGGTCCGCGGACGAAAAACACAATACCCACACGCATGATAGGACTGTTAATTATATGATTTCAATCTTGAATATTTGCATTTAGATTAAAAGATCATGGTATAAATTATTCTGATATTTATGCATGGCAATCAGATCGTTATTTTCAAGGATGTTTAGATTATTTTCGTCATTTAAAACAATTTCATGAATCACCACTTATTAAGTTTTCATATAATTCTGCTAGTTATATATTCTTTCTATTACTCTTTTCTTATTATTTATTATTCGATTTTAAAAGTCCAACAAATGAAAATTTACGTGCACATTGGACAGAAATTTTACTAATTATTATTGTAACAACAATGCTTTTTGAAGATATTCGACAAGTAAATTATTTGAAATATATACTCATTTTTTTTTTCAATATATAGTTTTGCTTTTGTTGATAGTTCTTTTGGCAAGATAGTCGATCAATAATTGGAAAATTATCTATTTACTTTATAAGAAATCTATTTGTTAATTTAATTCGTATTACATCATATATACTTTTTTATATTGGTTTTATTCTTCTTTTTACATATACATTCACTGATGAAGATTTATCAATTGCTAAAATTATTCTTGCTTATGATCTTGAGATTTGGTATATTCGATCATTAGCTTTTCTTGGTGTTGTACGAAAAATGGGACCAAAACTTGTTATGATACGAAAAATGGTATTTTGAAAAAGTTAATTTTTTTATTATTTTAATTTTTATATTTTTAGCTCATTGATTTATTTTTCTTTACATACATTATTTTAATTGCAATGATTGCATATGGTGTTGCTTCTCGAGCTATGTATAAATACAATGAAGATACAGATAATAATACTTTAACATTTGATGGTCGTTCAGTTTTTCGACATATTCTTTATCCGAGTTATTATCTTATGTATGGATCAACAGAAAACGAATTAGAAGCACTTGATCGTATAGTTTTTTTTTTTAATTTTGATGAAAAATTATCAATTGAATGGGTATTTCTTTTTTTTAAATAGGAAATCGAGATCTCGGTACATCTATCGCAACTCAAATTTTATTAGCTTTTCATATGTTATTTGTTAATATTCTTCTTATTAATCTTCTTATTGCTATGTTTAGGTATGTGTTATTTTATTTTATTTAAATATGAAATAAATATCATTATTTAATTTTAGTTATACATTTGAATCAGTTCAAAGTCAAACTGATCATGTATGGCGTTATGAACGATATTCATTTATTCGTGAATATTTTGATCGACCACCACTTTTTCCTCCATTTATTATCATAACTCATTTGATTGAATTTATTAAATTCTTGATAAGACTTTGTTCAACAAGAAATAATTCAAATATGAAAAAAAATCGAGCAAAAATATTTAGTAAATTAACAGATATTGAAAATAATTGTAATTTTAATTTTTGACATTTTAGAAATGATCGGTGCTAATCATGAAATAGATAAAGATTGGTCAGAATTTGAAAGTTATGCAACAAATCTTTATGCTCGAACAATAGTTTCTGGTAAACCATCATCATCGGCTACTGTTGTAACATCAAGAACACGTCAAGAAATTCTACCAACAACATTAGATACAATGAATACTTCACAATCATCATCAACTATAGATGTTAAAGCAATTACTGATGAAATGGCATCGGTTAAAAGAGTTGTTGGAGATCTTCGTACATATGCTGAAGAAGTTAGATGAAATAAAATAATTTTAAAAAGATTTTCTATTTGTTTATTGTAGATGAATAGATCTATGCAATGGATGATGGATGCAATGGAACGTGTTAAAATGTCTAAAGAACCAAGACCGATACCAAGATCAGCAGTAACAACTCATAGTGAGATTATTGAATTTTTTTTTTAATTTTATTTTTATCTGCTTATTTTGTTAGATCTAAACCAAACTGATGAAAGAGTTTTGCTGTGATTAAAATCTATGCATTTTCAAACGTTTTGCTGTCAATCGATTTTTTTGAACATTTTCGAAAGAACTCATCAAGACTCTCATGTTATTAAATAATACTTGAGTTGAATGGTCATCTTTTAATGAGTATATTTACTTTTTTATTTAGTGAATAACTTTTCAAAAGAGATCACGTAATACATAAAAACTGCACTATCATATTGTATAGCCGCAATCAATGATTATGTTATTTCAAATACCAGTGGTTTGTTTCTAGTTAACGAATGACACATAAAAAAAATGCAATTTTTGTGTTGTCAATATTTCTTCTATCTTTCTCATTTCATCGAGGAGTATACTTTTATGAAAAGTTTTTTCATGACATTAATTCATAAAGAATCGATAATACTTTCTCTATTGATTCACTAGACGATGTTACTCGTCCTTGTACAAATATTTATGGAGAAGTTCTTTGTAGATGCTGCATACGTCTCTTAACTATTCCACATATAATGAGATCAGTAACTCACATTGATTCTTCTACACAGTAATGAAAACTGAAGTTTGTACTTGAATGTACATAGTATTTCATTGGATAACATTAAAAAAAGAACAACAAAAAAAGATCATTGTTGACTTTTAAATGAAAAACGTGATGGTCAAGAGTATTATAAATAGAGCAGAAATATTTTTTCTTGTCTTTCACCGAATCAATAAAATAATAAAAAAAGCTTTCAATTCTATTTATATGACTACACTAATGTAAGTGTTGATTACAGCTCTTGAATCATACTAACGTTGTTGATATATCTTTTTGTAAAAAGATTTGATTTGATTTCAAGTTACAAACATATATCATCCCAGTTCAAATAGACATACTCATCAACGGTACGAAGTTACAGCTATATGTGACCGCAAACTTTGTGATATGATAGTATAAAGCACCGTTTTCTTTCTGTTTCGACGACTATAATCATCGTCCTAGGACGCCCTGGTTCATCATTGCAGCGATCGTAAATAACCTTATGCAAGCTGTAAAGAAACTTATTGGTTGAAAAAGTATTACAGTTTGTGGGTGTTGACAAAGACAAGATCGACGCACTCACCTCTCCTAGCCAGTGCAAGACACTAAATGTATATCTACCCAAGTCAATCAATGCGTATCACCGTCAATTATTCTAATGTTACCATATTCCTGATTCTGTTTTTATGGAGAAACATGGTCCGTTGATGTGTTATATTTTACTGTAAACAGTTGCATTTTTCGATCAGAATAGCTTGATGTATATTTTTTCCAAAATAATCCGAGATAAAATTTCAAAAAGCAAATTGTCGTAATCAGTTTTCAGAAGAAACTGTAATTCTAATAAAAGAGTTTAGTTAAAAACTAGTAAAAATAACACAAACAAAGATGTACAAAAAAAAACGAGCGATATTTGTGAAACTCGATTTAACATAGCTAGTCGATATTTCTACCAATGTTCACTTACTGGAAGTAAACGTCATAAAAATGTTCATTTTTTATTGGTTAAAGTCTATAGTCTCTATGTGGTTCAAACTAATGAAGTTTATTGAATGCCATGAATGATTATTGCGTTTCATGGAAATAGTACAATCATCAACAAAGTATCGATATGCTAAACTTAACATTTTCAAACAAACATTTTATTAAATACTGTTCAGATTTTGAAGCATCACTTTTTCTTCTTTCTAATCAATAAAATATTTTAGTTTAGATGGATTCTTATCGATCATATATAGAATATCAATTATATTCACTTTTGTAAAATTTATCTAATCAACCTTGAATTGATGTTATTTTTCAAATACTCTACCAACTTAACGATAAATAATGTAAAATAAAATAAAATTTGTTGTGAATAGTTCATGCTTTCAAGAGAAAAGATTTATTTGAAAAACCAAAGGAGTTATTTTTTTTCTTTGTCAATCAGATGTTAAATTGTAGTATAACCTATAGCGTATAGCTCCAGGTATACATTGCTTTCTTGATTATCTGTGATGACATTAAGTTCAGGCTTTGATGAACAATAGAAAAATTCGAGTGTTTCAGAATCAAATGAAAAAGCACTTTGATAGTAACGATAACCACGTTTAAATTTTGTATCTCTAATACCGTATTCAGGACATTCAGTCCATAACCATACATTAAATGCAGCTTCACCAGGATTCATTCCACTTCGAATGAAGACTGTAACGCTAACCTTTCGTGCTGTAGATGGAAATATGGTGTTAAGTGGAAATGTGACTTGTTCAAGCGTATTGAATTGAAATTTACCAAGTGAATATGGAACAACTTTAGGACTTGTCAAACTGACGTAACAAAATTCTAATATTATCAATGATCATAAATAGATATTCATTATTAGAATATTGACTTACGTTTATTATTGTTAGCAGTATTATGAACAACAAGAAGAGTAAGCAGAAAAATTACAAACTTCATCTTTTCACAAAGTCAAAATGAATGTGTACTTGTTTTGAATGGAACTTTAGTAGTATATATTTGCATTGAATAAATTGTCTCTTCAAACGAAGACAAGATATGAGTCATATATGTGCAAATAAAAATGCAATCGACGAATGCATGATCACGATTTATCAAAATTGTACTGAAATCATTATATCTAATTTTTTCATGAGGTTTAAATTATTTTACTTCAAAAAACTGAGGTTTACTAATAAAAAGAACTGAGAGCAGTTTTCAAGTGAAAACCTTATTAAGACTTTATAAACTTTATTTTGTCCATATTCTACAGAATAAAGACAGAAATTTTATCGTTTCAATGAGATCTACGATTTATTTTGTGAATATTTCTCGAGTGCTCTTGTAAGCTTAAAGCAACGTGAAAGTGACTGAATTAGTAATGAAGTCTCTTATCAATGTAAAGATAATCACAAGATTAAAGTAATGATCAAGTAGGCACACACTTGAATCCTATTTTGATAAGTGATACATAGAATCAACCTTCTTCGTTAAATATGCAGAACTCTTTAGGTAAATGAGTTGAAGAAAAAAGTGGAAGAGAATAAAAAATGCGTTTACGACTGAAGCAGTAATAATAATCACTCTGCACTAATGTTCATAGAAATTCTATTTTACAGATTGATTGATATATTATCCAATGCGACAAAGCGAGTTGAGATTTTAGCTCTCAACGAAAGTATGGAAAACGAGATTCTGATGCTATTTTTCATTAGAATTTAATGTGTAATATGCTCAAATGCTATAGAAAAGTATTCTCTATGGATCTACGTAAACTTCTTCTTCATAACTACTTTCATTCAAGTGTTAGGAGGATTTCTCTGAGACCCCTAGATTTCAATAAATTGACCTTGGAAGATTCGAAAAGGGCTTCATAGAGGGGTAATTCATCAAGCTGAGTCCAATAGTAATGCGTGTTTTCAGTTTCAAAAGAACTTCAGATTACTATTCGAATTTTGTCGAAACTTTGATTTTCATGCTACTGTATAGAGGGACTTTTGAAGTTTGACAAAATAATGGAATAGTAATGTCATGTTACTTAGAAACTGGAAATCAACATCACCATTCGATTCGGCATGATGAATCGTTTTGTATGGAGTCCTTTTGAAGTCTTACAAATTCAGTTTTCTGAAACGAGGTGTCTCAGGAACACATTCGTAACTCTTATATGGAAATGGTTAAATAGTTGGGGTTTCCGTAAATTAAAAAAGCAGACCTTTCTCTATCGATCGATTATACTTGGGGTATACCAAAACTAGCGTCAGAATTATCTTGTCCATATAGAAAGCTTGAAGAAATTTTCTTTTTTTATGTACCGATAGAGAAAATGACTCTGTATTTTTCTGTGCGATGTGGCCACCGTAGACTTTATGTCGTAACCATAAAATTACTATAAGAACTGTTTTTCCGTAAAATGTAAAGATTGTGCGGGTGTGGGTGTGGGTTTGAACTAGGATATGGAAAACACCAACATCTACACTTACACCCTTCTTGACACACGATGAAAGACCATATATCACTAATGTCTTCTTAGAATATATGAACTACTTTCATGTTGAAATACTATAGGATTCAATAAGCAGTAGTGGAGAAAGGTATCCCAGAAAAGATTAAAAAGAAAACAGTTTTTATGAGAATACCAACAACAGCTATATCGAATTTCACATTTTAATTCTGTGGAGATTGTATTATTTTAATTTGAAAAAAATAAAACTTTGACATTCGCCGAAAACACAGATTCTAGTTATTTTATACGCAAAGAATTACTCGATGGCCTTCAAATTCTTCATTTTTTAAATTATAATAGTTTCGTCGATCAGTAATACACAATATCGACATATACAAGATAGTTGTATGATCAAACCACCTCTTCATTCACTTTCGTACTCTGCTTGCAATCACAATCATAGATTTGCTTCAAATAGTTATTTTCGTGGTCTTATATATTGCTCTTTTATTTGCAGGTGAGTCCTCAATATTTATGGTAACTTCGTGCTTAGGATCAGGAAGTAACGACCGTCGTCATAATACCTCTAGGATATTTCTCTATCCGATCAGCTTTTTGTCTTTCAAGAGTGTGAGACTCACTCATTGAATATCTAATGATATTTTAAAAAACCTCTTGTGAGGTATTTCTCACAATAAACACCTTTTGTAAATCACTCAAATAAGCTTCTTAGTTTTTCATTCGCTGTAAGTTAAATGAAATTTCACGCCTTGACCTTATATTAACTTAATGATTCAACGGATATGAGTTATGTGTTCTTTTCATAGTCTAAACCCTTCAGCACATTTTTTTTGAAAATGTTTCTAGGAATCAAGTATTTTAATTAATTAGATCTCTCTTCTATTCTAGCTATACAAGCTGTAAACTTGAATCCTGAAAAGTTTATTATGATGAGAACAAGACAAAAAACGTATAATGCCGCTGAAAAAGCAGATGGTAGAAACCCTCCAA